ATTTTACTTCTTCATTTGTTTAATTTTTTTCAAATTTTGTTGTAAGGTTAATTCAGGCCATTCAATTGGTAAACTGACCAAATGTCTTTTATTTGCACAATTTTAAAATTGCAAGGGTTAATTAAACATGAGGGATATTTTCACATTCTGTATACAGGGAGGGATTTATTGGGAAAATTCTTAATAAGTCCCACTTTTAAGGTCTAAAGACAAATAAGTCTTATGAAAATTTTCCAAACACAAAATAGTCCTACTTTTAAAAAGTATTTCCAAATAACTCTAGGTTGTATGAATAATGAATATTTTTCCAAGATTGCCCGTTATTACTGAGTTACTATTACTGTTTTTTTTTTTTTTTTTAACTAAAATACAAATTTTCTCTATAATTTCAATATTTTGTAACTAATAGATTTTATATAAAAAAATTATTTCTTATCAAAATAAAAAAATCCCAAAAAAATTAATAAAGTATTTCAAATATAATTTTTCCTAGTTACACATACTGCCTCTACTGAGGTTCGAACCCCTAACATCCTTTTAAAAAGTAGAAGCCTTATACCACTAGGCCATGGGCCTGTTAGTTTTTCTTTTTTGGTGTGAAGATTGGGATAATAGATTTTATATAAAAAATTTATTTTTTACCAAAATAATCCTAAAAAAATTAATAATGTATGTCAAATATAATTTTCAAATACTCACATGTTAAAATACTATGAAATTTTTTTCATTAAATACATTAATTTTGAATTATTTCCATTCTTTTTAAATTTTCTACTTCATATTTTAACATGTGAATATTTACGAAAAGTATATTTGACATACATTATTAATTTTTTTAGGATTATTTATTTTGGTAAAAAATAATTTTTTTTATAAACATTATTAGTTACATAATATTGAAAGTAAGAAAATTTGTATTTTAGTATTAAAAAATAAAAATAGAGATAGTAACTTAGCAATAAAGGGAATCTTGGAAAAATATTCATTATTCATAGAATCTGGACTTATTTGAAAATATTTTTCAAAAGTGAGACTTCTTTATCTTTGGAAAGATTTCATAGGGCTTATTTGTCTTTAGAGTTTAAAAGTATGACTTAAGTTGGTTTTGAGGAATTAGATATTGATATTTCAATCTTTGTGCGAAGGGAGTAGAAATCAAAGTTTTGTGCATACAGAGCACATTTTCTTTCATGGTTCTCATGCTTTCATTTAGGCTCCATTTGTTTCAACATAAAATAATTTCCTCAGAAAATATTTTTTTTTTTCAAGTAAAATATTTTTTTTTGTTTTTATTTTTCGATATTTGGCAAATGTTTAGGTCAAGGTTGACGTCGAGTCCCATCTAAAAACCTACGATATGATGGGATTTGAGAGATAAATATCCTTTAATTATATATTTCCTTAATTAACCCTCCAATGTGTTCCTCTTATTAAACTCTTCTTCTTATTAAACCTTACCGTATTAAAAATCTACTATCATATCTCAATCTCTAATGTTTTCCTTCCTCTTCTCTTATTTAACTAAATCCATGCTACTTTTAATTATTTTTATATTTATTCATCTGGAATTTATTTTAGGTATGTATCCTGTCAGCTTTTAACCATTTGAGTCGTGAGCTTACCCAAGTTTGTCAGTCAGTAAACTATAAATTTCTAATTATTTCAATTGAAGCAAATAGATTTTTATATGCATACCTATCGTTCTATTTTTAATTGTTTCAAACTTGGTTGAGTTAGTAAATGAATTTCTAATTGAAACATTGTTTCAATTGAATATATTAATTTTTATAAGCATATTTATCTTTGTATTTTTTTTGTTTGATATATTCCAATATCTTTAAACTGTGTTTAACAGATTGATGCACCACCACTTTTGTATTCATGTAATTGAAAAATCTACAAAACTAGATACAATTATTGTGAATGAAGTCTGGTCTTTTCCTCCATTTTTTCCTGCTGTGGTTGCTGACTTTGTAACAAATATTGTTATTAAGGATGCTCAAGATGAGGTCTTGTGGACTCAGGGAAGATTTAGTTTGAAGAATGCTTGGAGAGCTTGTAGGCCAGAGGACAAGAAGTTAGGTGGAAGGGGATATGTTGGAAATTTTGTTGACTAAGAATTGCTGTTCTGGTTGTTATTGTGTTGCATAACAAGAATCTGTCATGTGTTAACTTACAAAGGAGAGGGTTTTCAGGACCTGCCATATGTCATAACTGTTATCAAGAGGAAGATAAAAATGATCATTTATTCTGTAGTTGTCCATATGCTTTTGAGGTGCATGTGGCAGCTGGTTTTAGATAGATTGAATATTCATGTGGTGCATTTTCAAGGGCTAAATCAGATGGTGGAATAGTTATTGCAGCTGGTCCAAAGTGTATGTACTCAGTCCAAAATGTTAAAAGGTGTTTTCTGTGTTTTTATTTGGAAGATTTGGATGGTGCGGAACAGTTTGTTGCATGGTGGTGTTCAGGAGTCAACTTCTGTGGCTGCTAATGGTATTGTATGGGAGGTGTTGAACTTTTTCTCAGTTGGTCTAGCTGACTTTATTGCTGTCTTTCGAGATGGACTAGGCTGAAGCAGGCTCAGTTTACAGTTGGGAAGTAGTTTTGACAGAGTTACTATATTTGAGAATTGCTGATGCATTTAATGGATTTGCAATATGGATTTATTGGTTGTGAGACCTGTATGTTTAGGGTTTGTCAATTCCTGGTTCATTGTCTGTGTACTTTAGTTAAGGATGCTTGATGCTGTTGTTGCTGTTGCTGAAGTACTTTTTGAGGGGCTGATTTGTTACTTTTTAATAGTTTATCAATCACTTATGTTTTTCAATGTTAAGATCTTAGAATAGGTTAATGGTTGGAAGTGGATTTCGTCCATTCCATAATTTGTATTGGAGATTAGTCTCCTTTTGTAATTGTACTTCTATTTGAATTTGTTTATAAAAAATATCCTATTCAGGAAAAAAAAAATCTACAAAACAAAATTTTATAACCAAAAGTCTGCGTTTAACATCCACCACCACTTTTGTATTTTTGCACTTGGAAAATTTACAAGAATACAGCCAGAATTTTATAACCAAAATTCATGGATGAAATAATGTCTTAATTAAGGTATGAAAACATTGAAAAAAATATTATCTTTTGTCTTCTTCATATCATAAAGTTAAATTTTCGAATGTTTCCTACATTGACAGAGTTGTCCGGATTGTATCACTTCTTTTGTTTAATGTTCTACATGAAATTTTTAAAAAAGATATAGCTAATAGATCAGGAGCTGAAACAACAAAAGAGAAAAATCGTCATTAGGCAACAGGAAAAGACACGAGCATGGCAATGGGAGGAAAAGACACGAGTATTGACAAAATAGATGAAATGGTTGCAAGAAATGCGATCAATCTTGAGAATTTAGAAAAAAATTGAACATATTAGTGTTCGACAGTCACGAACTATACAGGCACCATCTGCTTTTGTATCTTCCTCGAAGGGTAGTAAAAAAAGATTTCAAAATATGATGAGCTGAACCAGAACATTAGTTTCATTACTAACTCACTCAAATTGCAAATGAATTTGACTGTATGCTTTTCGTAGGTTTAGTTTACTTTTTAGTATTCTTTTTTAAGTATGTTGGTGATGATAATTGAACAAGTTAGTTAGTATTATTATTATTATTATTATTATTATTAGTATTATTTTGGTAATAAATTTCATGTTCCTTCTCGTTGTTTGTCTTTTTGATGTAATTTTGGAGTATATTTTACAATAATTTATTTATTTATTTATTATTTAAACAAGGGCAAAAATAATATTGTATTATTTTATTCCAAATCCCATTTTAAATCCAATTTGAATTTCATTTTAATTTCAATTCCTATTTCAATTCGAATTCCTTTTCCAAATCCTAAAATAATTGATTCCAAACATAACATTAATTTAGGGAGAAGTACAGAAAATACCCTTAAAGTATACTCCACGTAGCACTTTTACCCCCAATTTGAAAAAGTGTGCAAAAAACATCCATAATCTTTTCACATTGTGAAAAATACCCCATCTGACATAAAATAGTGTTGTAATATCCGTTTTGTCCTTTTACTCGTATGAAAAAGCACAAGGGGGTATATATAATACTAATCTCATAGTATATGGGTATTATATGCACAATTACTTATATATATATATATATATATATATATATATATATATATATATATATATAAATTTTTTTTTTTTTTGAATTTTTTTTTTTCTATATATATCTCTAAACATTTTTTTTTGAAAAAAAAAACTTTGAGAATTTGCAGAATAAGGATTTGAATTTTTTGAGATTTTAGTTTACTTTCTACTAAATATTTTTTTTCTTTATTTTATTTTTTTCAAACCAAAATTGTTAAAAAATAAATAAAATAAATTCCCAAATATCAGTGTGCATTGGTTTTCGAAGTTTGGAAAAATTTTATTTTCTTTAGTTTGCAATTTATTTTTGTTTTTTGTTTTTTTTTTTTCTTTCTATTTTTATCTTTACTTTTCTTTTATACTTTTATACTTTTATTTTATATTTTTATCTTTACTTGTCTATTATTAGCGTCCTCCATTAGTGTTATTTTATAAAAAAATTTATTTTTATATATTTTATAAAATGGTTTAGTAAGGCTAATTTAGTCAACTTAGGGTTTAAATTTATCCTAAGGACTTATTTGTATCAGATTAAAACTTTATGGGTGTTTTTTGCACGAGGAGGGTATCCTCCAATAGTATTACTTTCGATCATTTTATAAAATGGTTCAGTATGTGTAATTTAGTCAACTTAAAATATAAATTTATCAAAAAGACTATTTGTATCAAATTAAAACTTAAAAAAAAATTTTTTTGCATGTGAGTAATGTAACATGCACTATAAGGTGTTTCTGCACTCGACCCCATTAATTTATTTACTTATATCTACACCACTTTATACATAGATAAACAAGCCCAACAACCCTAGGCACTCCTCATTGAAGTTTGCGATGTGTAACGGCACATCCCTCCCAGAAGCGATCATCTTTAACATACTCTCTGTACTCCCTGTGAAGACTCTCTGCCGATTCAAGTGCGTATCGATCTCATGTCGTACTCTAATCTCAGACCCTGTTTTCGCAAAAACACAGCTCGATCGAAACAACAAACGCGAGAGGCTCATTCTCATTGCTTCCTCCCTTTACTCGGTCGACTGCACTGAAGCATCCAATAGCGGTGCTGTGACGGCAACCAACCTCAATTTCCCATCCACCGGTTGGGGCAAGATGGTGGGTTCTTGCAATGGCTTAATCTTACTAGTAAATGATGAACGGACCATGTTTTTATGGAACCCATCCACTAGTGAATTCAGCGAATTACCCAAATGCCCTTTTTATGCCCTCAATCCCGTCGTCCCTACATACACTATGTATGGACTTGGTTACGTTTCATCTTTAGATGATTACAAGGTGGTGATAGTTTTGCATTATTCGAATTCTGACAAGGTGGTGCAAGTTTTGCATTATTCGAATTCTGATACATTTATTGGTGTCTATACGCTTAGAACCAATTCTTGGAGTTCAAATTGGATTCCTGATTTCCCCTATCATCGTATTCGTGGGCCGGAGTCGGGGGTTCTTGTAGATGGCTCTCTACATTGGTTAGCTTATAAAAGTTCGAATCATCGGTATGTGATTTGTGCTTTTGATCTAACAGACGAGAAATTCCGGGATGTATTGGTACCTAGATCTCTTAACTACCCCAACCCTGAGACCCCAAATGATTTGGGGGTTCTTGGAGGGTGTCTCACTACGCTTGCATGTCGTGATTGTTCCCAAATTGATATTTGGGTGATGAAGGAGTATGGGGTGAGCGAGAGTTGGACGAAATTTACAATCTACATAAAGAGTATGCCATTTGGTCCAACCCTAATGTTTTCTCCGGTGGATGGGGTACTACTCCTGATAGACAGAAATAAATTGGTCGCATGCAATTTGAAGGAAGAGACATTAAGGGATATAAAGGTGCATGGCATTCCATATTCGTTTAGAGCAAAGAAGACCTATGTGGAGAGCCTTATCTCACCCCATTACAATGTGGTAATGAGAGAAAATAAAGGCATTCCGAACTTAAAGAGAGAGGTATTCTATCTTATCTTTTTTGTGAATTTTTTTCATATATATATCGATCATAGAACTTGCATTTACATGATATTATTTATTTGTTGTTAATTCTTTAACAGATGAAATTCCTTGTTAAAGTGGCATTATATTGTTGTAGACTTATATTGGGTGAATATCCTGAAACATGGATTGTTGCTTTAGTTGCATACAAGTGGCAGAGTCAATCAACATTGTTGGAGTGCTCTTCTTCAGTGTTTGCACCACAGTGAAAATCAGTGTTCAATTGACAGAATACTTTTGACTAATTGATTAGGTCAATTCCTAAATAATTGTGAGGACAGCCCTTGTACCTAACTCTGATGAAATTGTTAATATGCAGACAAAACTGTTAGCCTCTTTATTGAGTTATCGAATTAGGTTTTAAATATATATTGAAGACATCACGTATAAAGCTCATCTAATCTTGTTCTATTATAGCCATTGAGTAGTCTTCGACAATCCTTCCTGCACATTTTGTTTTGGTGCTGTATACTGCTTTCGTTTCATTCTTGTTCACCATACTCTGTTGGTGATATATGAAATGGTTTCGTCATATTGTGATTAATGTTGTTAATACACTCCTATTTTTTTTTTTTGTTTTGGGAGAAGGATAATGATTAATTTGGAGTTCGAAAGTTAGACAAGTTCCCTTAATTTATGGAAATAAGGACTAACATTATCATGACATCATTAATATTTATGATGACATCAATCATTAATAACATAAAATTAGTCGGATGTATCCGACCGTCGAACTCTCTATCATTACTCTTTTGGGAATAAAGTACCGTGTAATCATTCAAAGTGTGGGGCAGTGAAATGAGTGCAACTTTAAAAAGTAGCCACCCTCTGAATATGCGAAACAATAGCTTGTCTTTTCTACGGAACCCAAATTCCTTTGATTTTAAAACGTAGCCACCCTCTTACTTATCAAAAAAAAAAAAAAAAAAAAAGAAAAAAAAAAAAGAAGTAGCAACCCTCAATATGTGAATCCATAGCTTTTCTTTTCTACAGAAATCAAATTGGTTGTGGACTTTAAGTAATATTCTTGTTAATAATTTATGCAGTACAGTTTTTACTACTAGTATTTATAATTTGATTTCTTATTTTATTTTTAATTTTTTGAAAAAAGTTGACTCTTAAGTAATTTGTTTTATCTTTAGTTTCGTTTCTTTGTGTTTTTAGTTTTCTTGAGCGTTTTAGGTTTCTTAGTGATCAAGTTTATTATTATACTATAAAAATATGTTCTGCAAGGACTAGAAACATGTATTTTTGATTCAATTATCAATAATATTTCAAAATTCTCTGTGAATTTTTTTCAACTTTGTGGATTGTTCCTTGTGAACGACTCATAGCTTCCGCTACACCAATAATGTTTATTGGAACATATTAGCTCGAAATATCATTTGATTTCTTCTTGTTATTGCTATTTGTGAGAATCGGTTGCATATTTGCATCATATGAGATTTAATTCAGAGGGCTGGTTTTAACCCATCTGGTATTCATTTGCTTTTATTGATATGTTGCTATTTTTTTCCCCCAGAAATTGCTAATTTTTTCCTTTCTAGTTTTTGCTTAGGTTATTTTCTCTAATTCTAATCAAAACGTTCCATAAATTTCCTTTTTCTTCGGACTTTGTTTTCCCCATTCCTACCCTCCATTTCTAATTTTCTAGATTGTTTTTTGGTAGTATTATGAATAAAGTTATACTTGTTTTATATATTCTTTTGAGTTGTCTTGTATTAATTGTTCCCTTTCTCTTATTGTATAAATCTTGTCTTCATTGGCTTGTGGCATTTTCACTTGTTTGGAGTTTCCTAATTGTGAATTTTATTGACCATTGATCATTAATTCATGATGCCCTTTTCAGCGCACGATTTTGTAAAAGATTGTATAGAACTGTTATTATTATAAGTTAGAAAAAGATGATCGCTAACCGCCATTCTTTTATTTTTACCAACCTTAAATTTTTTACTTATTCTCCATAGATATATTTCTCTTAATAGTTTGAAATTTCTTTTGACCATCTTCTGTATCTGTTCTGGGCAGGAGCTAAGCTACCCTTTTTAATGTGGAATTGAGATATATTATAGAATTGAAGGTCTGGTTTAATGTTATGAATTTCTCTGAAAAGAGATTAATGAAATGGTTTGGTTAAGGAAATGACCTTTTCATTTTTAGTTTATAATATCAGATCTTGAATATTTGAAAACTATTGGAAATGTTTTCCTGAAGTAGATTGCTTTCAGGAAATATTTTGAGTTTTGCATAGAATATTTGTACGTAAAAAGTGTTCTTGGTTAACATCACCGGTGTCATTTGTTGTTGAATGTTTCCTTAGAGTAGATTTCTTTCATCAAATATTTTGAGAAACAATTGTATAAAAAAACTATACCATACATACGAACAATTTATATATTTTTCTGTGCATAATACTTTACTGATCGAATATTGCATATCATGGGATGCAGGTGATGTTGGACCACGGCATGGAGTTGCAAGTCTTGGGTATGAAGCTTTTATGGTCTTTAATTTGGGATCTGCTTGCTTTTTCTTTGGTGAGTTTGTCTGTCCCATAGAGTTTTGCGTTAAATGTAGTTTGACTTCAGGCACTTGGTGGATTAATGAATTCGAGTTTATTACAATTACTAAATTTAAAAAAAATTGAATTAATAAATCTTCCAATTATTGCTTTGTGTGGTTATGTTAAAAAAAATTAAAAACAAATTCATTTACTAGATTAGTAGGCACTCGTCTGGGCTTTTTCTTCTTTTTTTTTTTCCTTTTTCCAATTTTGAGTATACAGGAGAAACAAATGGGATTAGTTAATGAATATTGTAGTTGTCGACTTCATTATTTAGAAGGTGAATTATAATCACATTTGTCTTAATAGCTTCTTGAAAATTAGAATCGAACAGGATAAATTGAATTGCTCATTGATATGCAATCATATTGCTATCATATTGTTCATTGATATGCAAAAGATCATTTTCCAATGACTGACATAATAAAGAGTCACAAATCTTGAACTAATTTTATTAATGACGACATGATGACATAAATCATTTTTCATACACATTTCAATTTGTTTTTGACCAAATTCTTCTCAACGTGTGATTATTGTAAACATAATCATTATTTTATAGTCCCCTTTTCTTTTTCTAATTAAATATAAGGTAGGAAACTCAAACACTATCACACAAGAAACTTGGCATAATTCAAGTGTCCTAATTTTGGAAACTGCAACTATATATATATATATATATAGATATATATAGTATTTTTTTTTATTCTTTTTCTAAACCTTATCCTATCGTGATGAAAGAGATTGTACTCTTTAGGTTGCTTTTTCTTAGTAAGGGTTCTCTTAATTGATGTTTACATGTATTTGTTTCCAATAATGATGTACCGAAGTCAATTTATGTGAGTAAAACTAAGTTTTTGTTTCTTGCTTAGCCATGAAACCAAGTTTTTCCCCAGCATATAACAACATCCAAAAGTGCTTTTCCTATCAAACGTTGACCCTCCCGAGTCTTCATAAGTTAAAACTATTTTTATAACATGACAGTCTTCTCATATTGATGATTTAGATTTATTTTATTTTACACGTAGAAACAAACACTCTAATTAAAATATTAAATTATAGTAAAAGACTATATACTTTCCCAAATGCATGCATTGCTAACCGATAATAATATTGACAATACCAGCAATTGTTGCTACAGAAGAAAGAAAGAGTTTTTCTGAAATTAAAGTTGATAAAATCATATCTACAATTAACTATGTCACAACAAAGATTAAATGGATTGGTTATATTACCTATTAAAAAAAAAAAAAAGATATTTTAACCACACTTGAATATAAGAATTTAATTAGTAATTTTGGATCTTAAAAGGCAAGAAGGATGATTTTTAAATAAATATTATTTAATACTAATATATTACATATTTTGATATTAAAAGATCACTTTTTATTTTTTGCCTAAAGCCCCCAGTGACATCATGCTCCTGTAACAGTCAACAAATCTCATTCAAAATTTACGTTAAGTAGCTAGATATATTTGCATCAAGTTTGTTTGTTATTTTATTTTATTTTTTTTTAAAAGAAAACACGAATATCAAATTCCTTTAAAAAGTAAAAAGTTATTATTCTTTCACCAAGCTCATCCACTCAGCTAATTGAGAGATCGTGTCCTTAATCATTCCATTTATATAATTTATATAAACCTACACCATCTTAATGTGTATAAATTAAAATGTATATATAGGGGTAAATTACACCCACCTCCCTTGAGGTTAGACCAAATTATATGAGCCTCCTTTATAATTTTCAAAATTACTTCAACTTCTTATAAGAAAAAACCTTGCAATTCGGACCTCCCTTGTAAGCAAGGATTCGTCAACGTCAAACGAACTAACACAAACTAACACAGTTGTGTATTTTATTTTTCTGCCCTGTTTTTTTTTTTTTTGGGGTCAATAGGCAAGAAACTCACACACATCACTTTGTTCTTTTGGTATATATACACGTGTGTGTGTGTGTGTGTGTGGGTGTGGGTGTGTGTGTGTGTGTGTGGGTGTGTGTGATAAGTGCATAATTTATATATAATTCACCTTCAAACTTACATTTGCTAGTATTTTACTTTAAATTGTTTTTATTTAATAATTGTATTTTTATGTCTTTTTAAGGTTATTGGTGATTTTTGTGAAAATTGCCCTATTTGCTTAGCTCATCATATGGAGGTCAAGCGTCCGGAAGAATCCAAGTGTTAAGATTATTCGTAGAGGAATTTGGAAGATTCTCAGAAGACTTTTCAACAAGCCAATTTCGTTCTAAGGCTTTAGAGAAGAAATAAAACTTCCATGTTAAAATATCAAAACAATTTGGACAAAAAGTTCTGGACCAATTTCATTGTTTTGGGCATAAATTTTGAGTCAAAACTCAGAATTGTGCAAACTTAGTGGTTCTGGAAAAAAGACGCAAAGCCCTTTTTTGTTTTTTTTGGTCTAATAGTAATTTCATGAAACGTATTCCAAATCAGTCAAAATTGAGCTCCAAGTTACTACGAGTATGGAAAGAAAATTATGGCAGATTTCGTTTCCAACAAATTATTGCTTTCTTTTGAGGAAAACCCTAAGGCTACGTTTGGTGTGCAGGCAGGAATGAAATGAAATGCAATTTGAAATAGAATGAGTATTCTTATTCCCACTCATTCCATTGTTTGGTGTGA